TAAAATAAATATATATATTAACAATAATGATAATACTAACCAAATTTCAAAATCAAATAATAATACAATACCTCATTAAATTCATTCAAAAATCCCATGTAATTTTCCTTTGTAATGTTATGTTTATTACATAAATGATTGATGAGATTAGTTGTATTTTCTTCTTTTCGATTATATGGATATGCTTTTTGATGTGTATTAGCTAAATTAATTTCACATATCTTGTAATAAGCAATAGAAGAATTATTTAAATCAAAATGAAAAAAATAAGATGTATGACTACGATTACTACGGGATTTGGAAATTATATCATTTTTACGTTTTTTTCAAATTATATTACTAGTACTTATAATAGTTTCAGTATCAGAATTAATATCAATAGTAGAAATAGGTTCAGAAGGCGATAAGTGTGAGTTTTCTATTTTTTTTTAAAATCAAAAAAAAAAGCTTTCGTGAGAAGAAATTTAAAATAATTTTTTTTTATCATAATTATAATATTGGTAACAAGGATGTTATACAAAACGAAAAATTCATAATCTTGAAATTATACAAAAATTCATACAATATAACTAAATTAGAATGAAAAATTCATTTAGATTCGCAATACAATAATGAAAGGATAGCTTGTGAAGAAAATGTACAACTTTATATTGCACTAAAAAAAATTCATAAAATTGAGTCATAAAAATAAAAGAATGTTTAAATATCATTATCATCATATAAAAAAAATTTTTAAAAAATATAAATAAATAAATATAAAAAAAAAAAAAAATATATATATATAGACTTTTTAACGCCATTGTTACAATTACATAAAAATCAAATGTTAGAGTTTGATTATAATGCAAACATTCGTTATATTACATCATTTTTTAAATAAAAATCTAAATATGGAAGTAGTATATAATTAATCGACCAGTTAATGATTAATTAGAGATTGGATCAGGTTTCAACCAGTTTCATTAAATTCGAACTTTCGCAATCAACCAGTTTATTAAAACTGGTTTTCAGATCTGAAAAAATCAGACCCGGTTTTATGTTGCAACCGGTTTAAACCGAATTTAAATCAAATTATGCCAAACCGGTTTCAACCTTTACAAGGGACCTATAATAGGAAAAAATAATAAAATAGAATTAGTGATATTTGATCGATCATGATATAAGATAAAATAAGAGATAGCCGTCTTAAGATAGATTTGTCTAAACTAATCAGCAACGACAGGTATAATATATTCCTTTTGAATATATTATTGCATAGATGGAACATTTACAATGGCATTAATGGCCTTGATATATGCATTTAAAGAATGGAGATTATTTTCTTGTAAATCTATGAGGACTACGTCTTTCATCAAATGATTATTCCGTTTCTCTTTCAATCTAGTATCATAATTATATACAGTTAGCTCTTCTAATTTAGTACTATCATCAACTGAATGAAATTCCCAGCGTTGATTATGCGAAAGACCGAGAGGCGTCATGAATCTATTATTTAGATTCAGTTTTATCAACTCTGCATCGACCAACCTAGGGTTATGTATATTCATATTTGAAATTGCACATTGTATAGTAATCGGGTTCATTAAAATTGTTGCCAAGTGTACTGCAGTAGAAGTTGTGGTCATGTTTGGCATCCGTTTTGTATGGATACTATAATAATCATCAATATTTAATATCATTGCCTTCTCTGCATGTTCTGCGAGTGTAGAATCGATAGTTTTAGTATGATTATTAGATATAGTAATTTTATGCTATGTGATTATATGAGATGTTGTAATTACACCTAGATTAGCAAAAGTATCTATAGAGGCATTAGAAACACCAGTAGAATCTAAGTACATCGTCAATTCTTTCTTTGTAACATTAACGAACTTACTACGAATTCCACAAAAAAAGTAGCATACATATAAGAGCTGCTTTTTCGCCTATGCTTGTGAATTTTCATTTTTTGAAGAAGGGTTAGAAGAAAGATATAACTTGTTAAAAAATGAACTTAATCTTACATCTTCCTCTTCCATAACCGCACGAAATTCATCAAATGAGTATATCGCTGATTTTT